CCCACATCAGATGAGGGATGGTCCAGGCCTGGGGGAGGTCACCCTTTTTGGCAGACTGGGAGAGAACTGGGAGAGAAGGTTGGATGATACTCAACCTGGTGGGGAAGCAGAATTTTAAAGAGCGGTTCACGGGCTCCCAAGTGTCCACGAATGTCAGTTTCTTCATCGGCTGTTGAGCCACGGTGCATCTTATTTCTGGGTCCAGGTGTCTTATGCTGATAAAAAGCACAGAGTTAGAAGACAAGGAGACCTAAGTTTTTGTCTCAGAAAGTTCCCCTTCTTAAGTCCTTCCCTGTACAATGAGGAAGTCAGGCCACACATTCCCCAAAGCCTCTTCTACCTCTGCCGTCCACGATGCCACCATATTGGATAGAATTCATGACTTAAGAGATTTGCTATTTTTAAAAAAATTTTTATTTTATATTGGAGCATAGTTGATTAACGATGTTGTCTTAGTTAATTCGGTTGTACATATACATGTATCTATTCTTCAGCGTGATTCACTTATACATATACATGTATCTATTCTTTTTCAAATTCTTTTCCCATTTAGGTTATTACAGAATATTGGGCAGAGTTCCCTGTGCTATACAGTAGGTAAGATTTGCTTTTTTTTTTTTTCCTCTCTGGCTCTAGTCCTGCCTTAACTTCAGCTTGCTCCAAGATCATGTATAAATCACTCAAGCCTTTTCTCCAGCTCTCAGTTTTCTCATCAATAAAATGGGAGAGGGGAGGGTGGAGTGGGTGGCCTTGACGATCCTCCAAAGTCCCTCCCATGTGTCAAGTTCTAAGCCTCGCCTGATGCAGCTGACGTCTGACAAGTAGCTCTCTCAGCCTTTGCTTTTGGCTGCACAGACCAAAAACGGGGCTGTCCTGGGAAGTCCCTGACCAAAGACTACTTCATGGCTGCTTGCCCTTGTTGTCAGCTATACGGAACAAGAGTTTGTCGAGGGAGAAGGCAAACAGACACACAGACTGATGACAGGAGAGGGGAAGGGGGGCTGCTGTTTACCTGGGGTGACTGGGAGGGGGAAAAAACCCACCTGCCGTTTTGACCAATAAATAAAAAATGGGAGCTCTGCGTGGCTAAAACTGTAGGGGATTTATTAGTTTGCTTAGTGAAAGGCAAATATTAAGTCTTAAGTTGACCTGTCCTGGGACCTCCCTTTTGGCTTTTGTATGCTGTCCAGCACTGATCACCGTGTACTCCAGGTTATCAGGTTCTGTCGAAGGGTTGTGTTTTTTTTAAATTGTTTTCCGTCTTCTTTCTCCTTTCCTTCCTCCTTTGCCTGCCCCCCACTCCCACCTTCTAGGTAAGGGTAGCTCAGGCCTGGGTTTTGGAGAGGCGGAGAGAGCACGATGTGGAAGGCTTCTTGTCCTGGGTGTGAAGCTGCCTGTGTTCAGGACTCCTGCTGCCCTGGGGGTTACCCATGACCACAGTGCGGTGGCTCAGGGCTGCAAGCCCACCAGGTGGTCCTTGGGCGTCTCCTCCATCCTCGAGCTCTTCAAAAGTTAGCCATGGGCTTCCCTGGTGGCGCAGTGGTTCGGAGTCCGCCTGCCGATGCAGGGGACTGCGGGTTCGTGCCCCGGTCCGGGAGGATCCCACATGCCGCGGAGCGGCTGGGCCCGTGAGCCATGGCTGCTGAGCCTGTGCGTCCGGAGCCTGTGCTCCGCAACGGGAGAGGCCACGGCAGTGAGAGGCCCACGTACCGCAAAAAAAAAAAAAAGATAATTATACCATCTAATCTGGCAAATTCACACAACGAATTCGAGGGTGCGATCAATAAGAAAAATGAACCTGGATCTTTACCGGGATTTGTCTCCAGGTCAGGATTAAGGTTTATTTATTTATTTTAATTACCAGCTCCTGATCTCTTTTAAATAAAAATTCTTTGACTCGTGTTAACCATTAAAAAATACATAATACTTAGCTCAGTTTTTCTTGGTTTATGAAATATCTATGTTAATATGAAAATAAGTAATTTAGAATTGTGATTAAAGTGAGCACTTGCCTACTGCTATGGTATATATTTTTTCTTATCTAGTACATACTTTATACTGCTGTACACCCCCTCTTGGAAACATTTTCCAGGGACACAGTATTGAAGTGCTCTGTATGCTGCAGTTTAACAATAAAAAAGTTAGCCGTGAGCTCTTCAAAAAGTTAGGTCTTGCCCCTCATTAAACTTAAAATGAGCATCATCACAGCCGTGGGAAAAAAGGTACAGCTCTCCCGTTTCTAAGTGGTTTCACAGTGACTGATGATCTCAGCCTGATGTGCTGAAAGATGAACCGATCAGGCTTGTCGCTCCCCATGCGAGACAGGCTGGGACCTGGGACCTGGGACCCTCTGCTGCAGGGCTGGCACCTGGACAGACGACTCCTGAGCAACAAGATACAAAGAAACTATAAGGGACTAAAAATAACTGGGCGCATGCACAGTCGGGGCAGGTTCTGGACAACAAGATACAAAGAGACCAAAAACCCAACTGCCTGTTTCTGAAGAGCGAAAAACAGGGTGTCGGGAGCAAAAGCAGGGCACTACGCATGCCCCCTGCACACAGCACCTCCAAAGGGGTGGGCAGACCACCTAAGCCACCACTCCGGCCCGACCCCTGGACACGCCCCTACCCTCCCCCCATATAAGGACCAAGTTCACCCTCTACCTCAGGGAACAATCAAGGGGACCTGCTACTTGTTTTTGCTCCCCACTGCTGCAGCAGGGGCCCCAATAAAGCCTTGCCTGAATTTCTTGTCTGGCCTCTGATCAATTTCTATCGATTGGGGTAGGCCAAGAACCCTGGTCGGGACCACATGGAGTGAGATAGCCAGACCTCCAGGGGCTAGACAGCCACCCAGTCTATCCAGTTTCCACGTATGAACTGCAGCGAAACTAAACTAGACGGCACATTCTTTACCCTTTGCCGTAAACATCTTCAGTCTGTTCTAAAGCGCTGCAGTTCCAGGGCACTCGGGTCTCCTGGGTGGTGCTCGCTAATACCCACCCACTGTGGGGTACAGCACACCGAGGCACATTGCTCCATGTCAGACCCCGATGCCCTTTTCCAGGCCACCCTGGTCACCGTCCGTGGAGAAGGCATCTTACCAGCCCACCCGGATATGACGGGCAGTTCCCCACCACTGCTCATGCGGTCAAGAGATGGGAATGTTCTGGAATTGCTTAATTGAGAAAGTCCCTTTCACACTCCAGTGGTGATTTTTGATTGAGCTCAGCATGACTGTTAATCCTCTGGCAATCCCTCCTGGGTGAGTCTACGCTTTAAAAGATCTGTGTTGGGCCACCAGGCTACTGAAATGCTGTTAATCCTTCAAGGCTCACTTCAAATGCTCCCTGCTCTAGGACGCCTTCTTGGGTTTCTTCTTCCCTCTCAACCAGTCATGACCTCTCCCTCTGTCACATATTCTCTTAAGGCATCTGGCACTGGCTAGGTACCCCAAAACACTGTTCCCTCCTTCCTCACCAGAACACCTTTTGTATGTCATTTACTATGCTTATACCAAACTTGTTTTAAACTTGTTTCTCCCAACATTCCTCTGTCTGTCTGTCTGTCTGTCTGTCATAAAAGCAGGAACAGGGTCACTCCGTACACTTTGAAATTTATCCCTAAAATGCCCAATAATGTTCAGCATCACATGGCAGGCACTGCGATTGACATTTCATCCTCAGAAATTAGAGATGTACAGGGATCCATGGCTCTGCTCAAGTCTTATGTATGAGAGCTGGGATTCATGCCAAGGTCATTGGACACCTGAAGTTCAGAGCTCTTAAGTTGTATCTTAGTGGCTTTTACCTGGTAGATATACAAGGAAGATGTTGAGTTGACTTTCTCTATTAGTGAGCTGTTACTGTGTATACCACTAAGGTTGCCTGTTTTTTGTCTGCCTGTTAATAAAGTGTTTTCTGAACAGCAGAGAAAATGTGTTTGTTCCTTGATTGGTTGCTTTCCCTGAAGAATCTCTTCTTGAAATAGAATATGTCTGGTTTTTGCCGGTTATCTGAGAGTTAGGGTGATTTTTAAGGTAGGAAAGAGAAATTTAAAATCAAAAGTTTAGGTCAGAATTTCTAAAGAATTTCACACCGTCTAATAGGGAGAAATACAGAAGAAAAACACAACACATATGAGAGGTCTTTTGCCTTCGGGCTCTTACAGTCTGGTCAGACAAGAATGGCACACATGAAATCATCAATCACATTTGCCAAATAAACTCATGGTGAGTATTACTGGAGAATCTGGGTGGATAATACTGCCTGCTCTTCACCCTGTCATGAGCGTTTCCAGCAAGTCGCAAACAGAGAAGTTGGATTATTATGAGCAGGTCCCCTGCTAATGGGGAGGGACCTCCTGGGTTCCAGGGCTTACCACTGGGGGACAGAAGCCAAGGTGGAAGAGGCACCATTTGAGAGCAAGCGGACCCAGGAAGAGAAGAGTCTGTTCCCATTTGCTATCTGATTAACCAACCCTTCTGTGGGGGGGAGAGCAGAAAGGTAGGCAGAAGTTTCACCTTTTGGGGGAAGAGAAGAACTCAAAGACCACCCCGTCTTCTTTGTCCAAATGAGCAAAATTAGAATTTGGACAAAGTGGGTGTCATCTGTGGGCTCTGGTCGCCAAGACCAATTTCAGACATTCAAGAGATGTCTTGGCCAAGACACTTGGCCAAGAAAAATCAGGCAGTTCGGGAAAGAATACAGCCCAATGTCTTACAGCGCTTTACGGTTTAAAAGCTCCTGCCAAAGCTTCTGACTGGAATCACAGCAACTTTGTGAGATGCTATTAAGACCTCTTTGTTATAGGTGAGGAAAGAAAGGTGAGGGAGGTTCAGTGACTTGCCCTAGAGCACACCCCGTAAGGCCCCTGCCCTAAGGGCAGTGTTACAGTTTCTCTGTGCAAGCTGTATTAGTCACTGTAGGCTGCTGTGTAACAAAATAGCCCCAAATCTCTGTTGCTTTACCTAATGCCTCTTTCTCATTCATTTTCCAGGGGGACGTGAGTTGGCTGTGGTGGAAACAGGCTGCTCTTTTTCATGCAGATGTTCAGAGACTCAGGTTCCTGTCTTAGGACATCACCAGACCTCTAGCAGTGACACCTCCAGGGAGTAACCGAACCTCATCTTTAAACTGCTTCGTAAGGTGGTTGCAAGGTTTAGATGAGTTACTGCAGGTGTGGCACTTAGAAGGGTGCCGGGGACGCGGCACTCGATAAATGTGGGCTCTTAGCTCTACCCCCTGAACGTGGAACGGCATGGACTCGTCTGCCATGACTCTGGGCTCACGTGATTTCTGCACCTGGGTAGTAGGAGGCTTCACATGTGAACTCCGCCACTACATCTACGTTTCCCCAGTGTGAACAAGGCATCACTGAATCTCTCCAGCTGTGGGGAGCCCTTTTGGTTGTTTGCTTTGGTTTGGGGGCTAGAGCTGGGTTGCCAGCCAAGAGTATATATGATGATGCCTGGATACTAGCCCTCGGAACAGTGATTCTCCTTCTTGGGGACCCTCAGCACCACATCAGCTTCATCTGACTCTAATACCAGTCAGGTGTTTTCTCCCCAAGTCCAGGTTCTCTCCAGAACTTTTCAGTTGCCTCGACTGACTGAGAAAGCCCTACAGAATACTCAATCAGTCGTACACATTGGGTTCTTGAAGCCCTTCCCGTGGCCTCCTCTACCCGGGCAGAGAAAGGAGCTGATCTCACAAGCCAGGCAGCCTTCTCCCCATTTCCACACCTAGGTTTCAAATCACACCCTTCTTCTCCACTGCAGACCAACAAGCTCCTCTCTCAGCCCCCCGGCCGGGTGTGGGTTCTTGTAGCTGTGAGACCTCAGTCGCTCAGGATTCTGGCACCAGCTCGTCTGTTCTGTCTTCAGCTCTCCTGGCACCGCCGGAGAATGGAAAAGCTGGTCTGTTTACAGGACATGGGGCCAGAACAGCATTAAAAACTAAGGAACAAATAAAATGTGGTAAACAAATTTCCTTTCCAGTAAGGAGTGTTCCTAGCCCGGTCCTTCAACAGGAACCATTTTCCTCATGTGTTTGGATAAACGTTCATTCTGGGCAATTTCCATTCCCAGGAGGGGCTGCCGATTTCCGTTGGCTATTTATTTTGACTTTGACCGTTTCTCCCCCTTCTGAGCACCACACACCTAATAGTAAAGAAACTCTGCTCCCTCTCGGGGCACTGGGAGCAACCCCCCAAGCCTGCCTTCTCTCGTCTCTTCCATCACCCCTTCACTTCCAGACAAGGCAAGGACATGGCGGGCATCTTGCCCTGGATGGAAGCTGTTCTCCGGGGAGAAGGAAGGAGGCAAGGAGGTGAAGCAGAGGAGAGAAATGGTTTCAAATAAAAGCTGGAACAGATACAAAGGTTTATGTGTGGGTGACCGTCTCTCTGAGAAAGCTCTTCAGCATGAATCCCCCTTGTGAGTTTTCGTGGGAGCAGAAAGCCATTGATCTCAGGTTTCCTGACCCCAGCAGGTAGCTTATTGTAAAGCAGTTCATCCAGAGGGGAAAAAATACCTTGTTTCAGCATTTTAATTTTTTTTCCAGGGCTCTGAACCAGACTTGTAAGAAAGGAGATAGAGAGGATTAACTTATTCTTTCCTAGCTCTGAAATAGATGTAACTGGCGGAAAAAAAAAAAAAAGAACCAAGCAACTTGGAACAATGATTATTCTTGTTTACTTGTTTAGAAATGCATTGTTATGAAGGGCCCCTATTTGCATATTTTAAACCCCCCCCCCTCCCTCCTCATTCCCCCCTGCCCTGTTTTCCTTCTGTGCTGGGACAGAGGAAAGGAAGGCACACGCTAAGCGGACAGTGGTCAGTGTGGGTAATACATTCTGCGTAAGTTCACTTCACTTTCTAAATTCCTTGCCTTTGCCTGGTTGGATGAATTGGTGTTCTTGGCGGTGCTGAATTCAGAGAGGCCCTGAGAAGCGGAGTGGCGCTGACTCACGGACAAGACACGGGCTGGCTCTGGCTTTGGAGTCCTTAAGGCTGGACTCAGGGCGGCACCAGGAAGGGGCGGGGGGGTGGGGGGAGGGTGCACTCTGCCACCCCCCACAGCTTCCTCGTGAGCCCCAGCCTGCAAATGGCCTTCCCAACTGCCACTCCCAAACCTTCTCCCAGAGACATCCCAGAGCTGTCACAGGGTCACTTGTCCTGGGCTTTACCTGGGTCACGAGTTGGTGACATGGTGAAGGGCGAAGCGAGACCCTTCGCCCCTTGGAGGATGTTGGAGACACTTTCCTCTTTGGAGGACGTGGGCTTTCTCACGGCCCGGCCTTCTGAGGGCTGAAGGGTTCTTATTCCAGGGGGTGTGAGACCCTCATTAATAAAACCTGGTTGGCATGGGAATAATCCTGTTCGTGTGTGTTAATGAGTGACATGCACAGAACCACGTGCTGAGCCTCGATCCCAAAACGTGCTGCAGGCTCTGTGCCTGGTGGGGATGAGCCTTGGGTAGAACTTTTCCAGAGCACAGGAGGAGATATGTCTGAAGGTCCACCCCCAGCCTGGTGCCCAGGCCCTTTTGAGAGCAATGGGAGTTTCTAACTTAATAAAAATTAGTATTCAACAATCTGATGCGATGAGAGACTGCGGTCCCTGTTCGTGGACCTCGGTTTGGGGAATGCTGAGGTTCAGGTGGGTCAATTAAGCCACCCAACCTCCCTCGGCAAGTTGATGGTGAGCAATGATGCATCGGGCCTCTGGTCCCCACCTGGAATAGAGCTCCCTGGATGCCTAGAGGGTAGTACCTGCAGGGAGAGGAGGCCAGAGAAGGTATCTGGAAAGCCTAGGAGGGAGGAAGGATCCAGTCCAGGCAAAGTGCTGTAGAAGCAAAATCCATTCATGGTAGCTTCATGCGTGCCGTCAGGGTTGGGCGCTCCAGGGTCAAGAATGCTTTGAATAAGAGGCACTGGGGGTGGACCAGCCCTCCACCGGGGACGCTGGGCTCTCCAGGGTGGGGAAGACTTCATCCGGGCTGCATCCCATTCTCGGTTCCGCTCTATTTAGAACACTTTTTTTTTGGTGGAAAGCAGATTGCTGAGGAGGGGATCACCCAGCCAGGCGGGGAGGTAGCTTCCAGAACTGGGGCTGGAGGGAGGGAGAGGCAGAGGCGAAGACTCACAGCAGGATGTACCAGCCAATAACCTTCTCACCTCTCTTCACCTCGTCCCCGTCCATCACTTTTCCCCTCCAGCCCAGCAGCCCATCTCTGGGCAGAGCTTACGGAGGCAAGGTAGCAGCACCTGGAACTGTTTTCCGTCTTGCAAAGTGACATAGGCAACCGACGTTTAAAAATTCCCGAGTCCAACAGAAAGCCCTTTTGCAGCAAATACCCGCTTTGGTGATGTGTGCCGCCCATGGACTCATGACACAGCAGGCCAGGCTGCGTGGGTGCAGAATGACCTCGGATGCGATTCTCTTCTGGAAACAGGGGCAGCCTGAACTAAAGGTGGTTCCTGTGGAGGTGCTCGCCAGCAAAGATGGCACAGGAGGTGTTTGACGCTTTGCTTACAGGACTTGGATAACCCTCCCCCTCCCCTACCAAAGGGACAGCTGTGCTAAATACAGGAGACTTGGTGGGCAGAGAGAAAGTTGTGGGTGGCCAAGGGATTTCTGCGTCTTTAAAATCCCTCTCCCATCCCTTGCCCTCGCATCAGTCTTTGTCCTGCAAGAGAAACTTGGTGTCTGAGAAGTGACTCCCATGGGCCCCCCTGCAGCTCCCTTTGGAGCTGAGTGACACAGCTGGCTCTGCCCAGTGGACTCCAGTTGGCATCCCTGATGTCCTTTCTCTGCAGAATTCTTCTGTGAAATGGGCCAGAGTCACTCACCTTCCCGGCCAAGGCAACTTTGAGACCAATGGCAACAGTTTTTCGAGAACTTTGGAAGCAGTAGAGTTGTGTACCCACTTGCTAACAGGCTAAATCTTAGGGCCTCCCTAACCCACAGGATTCTGGGCGTGTGGATCTGGAGGCCAGGGGGTGGCTTCCTGCTGGCGCACAGCATTAATGACCAGCGAATGTTCAAATGCGTGAGACGCTACATCCCTTTCCTGCTGGCCAGCTGCCTGGTCCTTCTGAGGGCTTCCAGGAGCCCGTAGGTGACTTTCAAACTCAGCTATGCTCCTGATTTGAAACCACTGGTTCTCAGCCGAGGGTGGTTTTGTCCCCCTACCCAGCACCCCAGGAGCCATTTGCAGAGTCTGGAGGTATTTTCGCTTGAGGGGAGGGTGCTATAAGCATCTAGTGGTAGAGAGCCGGGATGCTGCTAAACATCCTACAATGCACAGGACAGGCCCCCACTACAAAGGATTATCTAGCCCCAAATGTCTACAGCGTCAGGATTGAGAAACTGTGCTTTTTTTCAACCTCTGCTCCAGGTTGAGACAAGCGTGAACCCTCATCACCCCCCCGCCCTCTCCCCGTTGCTTTATTTATCAAAGGGAGGGGGGAAATCTGTTATTTTTTCCAAGTGCATTTCCCCCTGTATCTTATCAAGAACCACCAAGTTCAGCACACCCTTGATTAGTCACTTCCATTAACAGTGTTTATTTTGGGGTTTGTGTTTATTTTTGAAACGTGGTCACCCTCGTCCCCCCTCTCTTCCTTACGCGCTAGTGGTGTGCGGCCAGCTTTCTAGCACGGTCTCGTCCACATTTTCCTCCATCCATAAACCCACTGGGCCAGCTTCTGAGGAGGGAGGGCCAGCCTCTCCTCCCTCCACTGGGGGTTGGGGGAAGGCTGCCACTCCTGGAGTTTCTCTTAAAGTGGCAATGGGGCAATTGTCGTCTTCCCTCTGATTTCTCAGATACGCTTGAAAATCCTTTTCATTAGTGACTCTGTGGACCAACCGACCCGTGACAGAGCTGAGCCTTTACTCCCAGCCGTCCGCGTTCCGTGAAACCGAGGACGCCCGGTGGTTTTCTCCATTGAGTCAGAGGCAAGGAGATTTTTGACTTGTGGGTCTCTCCCGCTTCTCTCCACCCATCCCCTCCTCACTGCAGGCGAGCCTCTGGGTCATATTTAAGTGTTTCTGAGTCATCGAGGGCCGATTCCTTCTCCTCTCAGCCACCCACCCTCCACCCTCCCACATGGCAGTGGGAATTCAGGGTTTATGGCTGAGTTACCCCGAAGCTCGGAGGGGATCTCTGCACAGCTTTGGGGGGGTCTTCCTCTTTGATCACCCGCTGCCCACCATGCCTGCCGCTCCTCCCGGAGTTCCAGCAGCCACCACCTCCCCAGGAGGCATGTACAGAGCCCCTCAGCCCATGAAGTCCCTCCCCAATTTGGGGGGTGGGTCTCATTGCTAGTCTTGGACATAAGCACCCACGCACCCAATGGTTGCAGCGAAACCCCCGCCCAAGGCTGCTCTGAGGCCGCCAAGCTGCACAGAAGGCCCAGGTACCCTCCCCCTCCCCCCCTACTCCTTCCTGGGACATTTATTTGAATCCCACCGGGGAACTGGTTACTGTGGAATATTTATTTGTTTAAACATGGGTGGTTCCTACAGAGGAGGGTGTCAGGTTTCAAGGGTGGAGGAACAGTTGCAAACAGAGAGTGGGTGGTCTGGACATGAAGCAGGCCGGGGTGGGGGTCAGAGAACCCAGGCCTTTTTAGGTTTGTAGGTGAAAATGCTGAGTGACTATTGCCTCATTCTTGGCCCTTTTGTCTTGTTATGTAAGACAGAGCGACTTGGTGTGGTTGGGTGGTGTTCAGACAGCCTTTTGGTAGATTGTTGAAAAGAGTATTTGGAAATCACTGGGCAATGGCTGGGCAATCGCTCCGATTAATTTATCCTGAGGGCTTTGATGACTGTCTGTCTGAGCGCCTGGGGAGGATCGGAAGGGTGCAGGCTGGTTCTAACTACAGCCCCACCTCTAAGATTCTGAAGGATTCTTAAGGGCTAGTGCACTATTGGAATAGCAGAGCCTCTTTCCTAAAACCGCTTGAGTTGTTGACTAGAATGAATAGTCCTGCCTTGTGTCCTAGGGCCAGCCTCCTTTCCAGGTTAAACTAGCAGAAACATATCTCTGATAAGTTTTGGGGTTCACATCAGCCCTGAATGACAGAGTTTGGAGTTTTGTATTCGGCAGGTAACGGTCCAAGTAAACCCAAGATGGAGGGAAAACCAGAGGTATAGTTGAGATCACTGCTCTCTGGTCCATGGTTTTCCAAAACCTGGAAGTAGCAGCGATAGAGCGTGTTGTCCTTAAGCCTCCTCCACAGCTTCTCAGCTACAGAATTGGAAAGTGCAGAGGAAGGCTATTAGTTTCCACAGATGCACTGCTGAAAAGATCCAGTGTTTTGCCAGGAGATGCTTTTTGGAGGGAAAGCACCAGGGGAGGTTCTGGAGCATGCAGTGACTAACAGAATTAGATACAAGAGATCCGGTAGAGATAATAGTGAGTGACTGTCTTCTAACGTGCTACCAAGGGAAAAAGGACATGGGATTCATGGAGCAATGTGGAAGTAGGTCAAACGTCAGAAATCATCTCGTAATACTGAAAGTGATAGCACCGAGAGAGGCTGAAGTATCCCTTTTTTAAAATTAGGAGGGAGAGGAATGCTTTTTACCAAGTCTTAAGTACTGTTCTTTCTGGACAGAGAAAAAGACTGTCCCTAGATGAATAGCTTCATCAAGGAAACCTTGTTAAAATTTAGCGATGTCACGTACATGCTGAAATATTTAGGGCTGAAGGGGCCTGCTGTCTGCGTTTTACCTTGACATATGTTTAAAAAGTAAGATGGGTCGATGGATGGATAAATGCATAGATGTGTGATGAAACACAGTGGCATCTTGACGTCACAGAGTCTAGGTGGGTATGCAGGTATAACGTTTCTATGTGTTTGGACGTTTTCAAATAAAATATTGGAGGAAAGTACCAAGCCCTGGGCCACCCATGGTAATTCAGATTCAGTGAGTTGGTGATGAGGTCTAGGAATGTTCTGAGCTTTGCAAGGGATTCTGATAATGAGTCAAGTCTGTTGGGGCCCATGTGGAATAGATTGGTTTTCCTCAAACTTGGATACGCACAGGAAACCCCTGGAGATTCTGTCAAATGCAGGGTCTGATCCAGCAGGTCTGGAGTGGGGCCTGAGTCTACATTTCTCACAAGCTCCCAGGTGATGCTGAGGCTGCCCGTGCCTGGACCATACCCTGGGCAAGAAGGAAGAGAGAACTCTTCCGTGTTCTCTGCGTCCGAGAAGTCCAGTGGGTCTCAGCTTGGGTTTCACATTGGAGTCGTCTGGGTAGCTTTAAAATAAACTGGATGGCTGGGAGTGCGGGGGTCTCACCCCCAGAGATTCTGGTTAATTGGCCCGGGCTGCAGCACGGGCAATGAGATTGAAAACCCCTCAGATGATTCTAATGTGCAAGCGCTGATTTCATGTCAGGAAGGGAATCGATGGAATATTAAATTTCAGGAAATGAACTTTTGCACAGAAAGACACTGCGGACCCTCATCACCCACGCGTGCAGAGGCTTTTCCAGCCACGAAAGACTCAAAGCCACCCACCTCCTTTCCCTCATGATGAGAATGACTGACAGCCAGCATTGATTGAGTGTCAGGCGATTTTTGTTAGTCCGTTTCATCATCACAGTGCCCCATGAGGCAGGCGTTAGTATCCTATCTCAAAGATGAGGAAATTGAGCTTGATTGAGTTCAGTGACTGGCCCAAGGTAACACAGCTAATAAATAAGACTTGGGCGGAGGTATGAACTAGGTCCGCCTGACTTCAAAGGCCATGCTCTTTAGCTATCATAGTACTCTGTTGCCCGCATGGTCTTTGCCAAGAAATTAGAAAACTATAGCCCGTGGGCAGGTCAAGTCTGGCCAGCTGCCTGTTTTTATAAATAAAGTTTTATTGGAACACAGCCCTGCCTCTTCATCTGTGTATTGTCTGCATCTGCTTTCGTGCTATAATGGCAGAGTTGAGCATTTGCAGCAGAGACCCTGGGGCCTGCAAAGCCGAAAATATTTATCTCTGGCCCCTGACAGAAAAGAGTTGGGTGACCCTCGATGGATTGGTGAGACAGCTAGCACAGAGCCGGGGAGCAATCCTCGGCTGTGCTCCGAGCAGAAGGAATAACCCATGGAGAATGAACTTGAACTCACGGTCCCTGTAGCTCTGGTTTCTGCTGACTTTTTACTTCGATCTCGTGGCCTGCGTTTTACTCCAAAAGGGTTACAACTTGCTTCCTTGGAACAGATTTTATTTTCATGCCAAAAGTTTTGATCTGTTTTAAGAGCAAGGGGTCTTGCTCCCGAAGCCAGGGCTGTCACAGGGCTCCCTGCAGAGTGGGGCAAGGGAGACCAGCTGCCTGCCACCTTCTGTGGCACCATGGTGGGAGGCTTGCGTGGAAAAGCCTGGAGCCCTGTGGCTCCTCGGAGGCAGCAAGAGGCTTCCGTCCCTTCCCACCAGCCATCCACCGAGAAACCCTGTCAAGAGGTCAGGAGGGAAGAGAGAGGGAGGAAATGCCAATCAATCCATCAAAGCCCCACCCTCCTGCGCTTCCAGCCGGTTAGCCGGGCCTGAGCATCCTTGGTGGGGGGGGGGGGGGGGGGGGGGGGGGGGGGGGGTTTGTTTATGTGTTTTTGTTTTTTGTTTTTTTGTTTGGGGGGGGGGGGGGGGGTGGGGGGAGTTGGGCTATGCTAGCTCCTAGTCTATGTGGACTCTTGCACATTGCGTTCTTTCTTTTCTACCGGTTGTTGTTTCTTTGTTTTTTCTCTTTACTACTTTTCTTCCTCTGAGGTTTGTTTGCACTTTTTCGTTGTTAATTGGTGTGAGGAGGGCCTCCTTCGGGAAAATTGGTGGAAAAGGAGAGGTGAGGGGCAAGGAGAGGCCAGGATACCCTGCCCGGATTCCTGGGGCGTTGGCCTGGGTACCATAGAAATTTTGTCCCCCCTGGACAGACATAGTAGGAGAGCTGTAAAGACTCTGTTTAGGTAGACAAACATTATGTAGTGCTTACTGTGTGCATGGGATACAAAGGCACACAAAAAAGGCCCGTCTTCTCCTGTAAGAGGTCAAAGATGAGAGAGAGAGAGTTCAAAGCAGCTTGATAAACTCAATGGAAGAAGTAGGTAGGATGGAGATGGGGTGTATGGGGAGGGGCTCAGGAATCCTTTAGCTCAGTTTTCTCTTCCAAACAAGACTGAGCCTTAGTCTCGGAGATGCGGGGGGCACCTCTCACCAAATGACAGTCAGAGCTAATAAGACCAGACATCACTGTGAAGTCCCTGGCACAACTGCCCGGTGTTACCGGGCAGGTGGACCGTTTGCTGCTCCCTTGGATACAAGCCTTAGGCCGGGAGCTCTGGGGCTGGAATCCTGGGGCTGCTTTGGCCTCGGGGAGGCTGAGGCTCCGGGGAGCACAGAGGTGATCTGCCTTCTTTTCATTAAATAAGGACTTTGATCCCTCCAATGAGCAGAAAAGAGAGTTCTCCCTTTTCAGCACCTTCTAATATCCTCCCCGCTGGCTGTGCTGGCCCCGCTGTCACCTCACCTTGAAGGAGAAAGGATGTGTTTCCAGCTGGGCCCTTTCTCTTCCTGGTTTGAACTGGGAGTGAGCGAAGCTCAGGAAACAGATTGTAGCCACAGGGCTCCGGCTGCACCTGAGAGCATCAGGTGGAGGGGAGGGGAGGTGCAGAGACACGGGGTCCTCGGTGCCACCCGCTTTGCCCAGCTGACCTTTGCTGCTGGAGCTCCAGGCTGAGGGTTCGTTGTGGTGGAGCCAGGGATGATGGCCCAGCAGCTATAAGACTGCAACTTGGCCTGCCCTGCGGCACTCCATCCCTTCTTAAAGCCCCTTACAGGGCCAAGCTGCCTGCACCAGTCAGCTGTGCCTCTGGGTTTTCAAGAGGGACATGGGCCGGGAGGGGATGGGGACCCCTTTGTCATTCCCGCCCTTTCTCTCCTATCCCCTCTTACGCATTG